ACTCAACATGTTGCCTTCTGTCGGTTGTCACGGTAGAAAATCGTCTAAACAGTGAAACCTATCTCCCAATCAGTACTCGAATAGCTATTTCGGCAGTGATATTTGATACTGGGATTGCCTCCAGCCAGCGAGTGAACCTGTTGGCAAATGTCAGTAGGCAAGGATAACCATCAAAAAGTGGGAGTGGACCAATTATGCCCAAATGAACATCAGCGAAGCGTGAATATGGTTTGGGGAAAGTTCCAAGTGATGCAACGTTATGTCTATCTAACTTGAAACGGCATTGAATACTTGCCGGTGTCCACATTCGAACATCATGATTAAAGCCTGATCAAACAAGTGCAGCAGTTGTCAGTAGCACGGATACCGGGATATGAAAGACTGTGGACAGCATCAAAAACAAACTTATGCAGACAGAAAGGAACAACCGGTCATGGATTTCCGGTGGACATATCACGTACGATTGTCTCCTTGCCGTTTATAAGTGGTGAACTCTGTATCTTTAAGAAAGTTTTCCCACTTGCTAGTCAGAAGCCCGAAGCTCAGGAATCTACTTTAGGTCAACCGTCTGACGCAGAGAACAGGTACAAACGAGAGACAATGCGTCTGTCACAGGTCTGTTCATATCAGAATTGTGACGGATGTTCGATGAGAATTGCGAAATGTAGTCCAGATGGTGTATTTCACGCAGAGGATGCTTATCTATGATGGTGTGTAAAGCGTAAGTCAAAGGTTTGTGGTCGGTAAAAATGATAAAATCGCGATCTTCCACAAAATGGCGAAAATGTCTGACGAAGGTCCATATGGCAAGCAATCTGTAACCATAAGCACTGTACAGCATTTAGCCTGCGAATAGCTACTGGAAGAAGAGATTAAGTAGAATCCAAGTGCTGTTTGAAAGTTGCTGCAATGTGGCTCCGATAACCGTGCTGGAGTCATAGACAACAATACTGAGAGGAAGGTTTACACCTTGACGAACCAACATTGTGGCCCATGCTACAGTGTTTTTGATCTTGTGAAACGCTTCCAGAACTTCGAGAATCATGTTTAAAATGCCACACCTACATCTGAGCAGGGTGATTAGTGCAGTTAAAATGTGTGTTCACCGAGAAACAAAGTTGCATAATAACTCACCATCCCAATGAATTTACGCAGCGCCCTAACGGTTGTTGGTACCAGAGAATCTTGAATTACTCATACTTTTACCGATAGTGAGCGAGTGTTATGCTCCTCAACCAAGTGACCACGGAAAGTCGGTGAACTGACACCAAGGTAGCATTTAGTTATATTAACAGTAACTGAATGTCTAGCAAGCCTTGCAAGTTAATGAGATGAGGATCCTCATCTGTACTAGGCAAAAGGGTATCATCTAGTTAGGTGAAGGCAAAATCTAAACTATGCATAACATCGTGAATGAAACGCTGGAAGGTTTGTGCAGCGTCTTATAGTCCGAACGATATGCGGAGGAATTCGAACAGGTCAAAAAGTGTGATGACAACTGTCTTCGATACATCTTCCAGATGAACTGATATTTGATGATAAGTAGGTGTTAGGTAGAGTTTGCAGAAGACACTTGCATCTTTCAGAGTAGCAGTTAAACAAAGTTTGTGAGGCACTGAATAGTGATCTGAAATCGTTCCAGTGTTGAGTCATCTGTAGTCATAACAATGCTGCTGTTCCATCCCATTTTTCTTCGGGATCAAATCCAAAAGAGATCACGAGCTGTCGGAAGGTCTGATGGTTCCCACTCGAAGCATATGTTCGAACTCAACCTTGACGGCCTGGAGTTTATCTCGGGATAAAAATCGTGGTCCAGGTATTTTCATTGTATGGTGCGAAGCATTACACATCACACAAGATATGCCAGATGACTGGACATGGAAACAAACGAGCGGGAAATATCTGGTTTGTAATAAACCACCTGATAGAAAGTGCAGTGATGACAATACTGAAAACAAAAAGCGATGTGTTAGAATCGATCAGCTTGTGCTCACTTGCATCTACCAGCATATGATAATGGCATAAGAGGAGAAACTAAAGAGTTAAAAATATAAAATTCATCAATAGCGAAGGTTGGAACATAGCTGTCGACTCCTTCCTACGGTACATAAAGCTTAGGATATCATACACGATATCGGTTGTAATTATGCAGATTACATATTAAAATTTATTACTGTCTAAAACACAATTCGACCATCATAACTGTAAGCTTCCCAGGATACCAAGAATGATGCGCAAATCATCTTCCGCAAACACTCAACTTTGGTGTTAAATACAGTGATACTGTTAGCGGATAACTATAAGAGTTTATCCCTTACTGACTGACCGACTGACAAAATAGACGTAGAAGTTTCTACACAGTTGCATGGGCTCATGTTGACAGACTTTACAGGCATACACAAAGAACGGGTAGGTAGAAAAAAGTGACATCAAAGTAGAAAACGTTGTGCAAGAAAATAAACAATCTGAAGATAACGATAATAGTTATCTTCAGATTGTTAATACTCAAGCTTTAGGAAATGTCAAGGAGTGAATACATCTGCACTACTGTGACCGACTTTGAGCCATCACTAGACGTCCTCAACTGCTTATTCTTATCCACTAGACCTCACCAGGTAGTATACACCAACCAATACGACTCACACCAACAGTCAGAAGTTTCATGAACTGGTGCCACGTCTTGGTGGGGCAAATCTGAAGCCATCTTCAACCTAATCCAACTTCCACTAACATGGCGCGTCAAGTAACGTGGAAGTTCAGCATGTGCAACATATGTCCAAGTCATCTCCGCTGACTATGTAGTACCCTTCACGTGACCCCAACATTGCTTACACTGCGATTCCACTAAATGCAAGCAACACTAAGAAGACAACTGTGGTCAGAGACCAGCAATCGTTTCATGTCTTCTACTAAAAATGGCCATGTCTCACAGTCATATAACAAGACAGAACGAACTGCAGAGCAGTATACTCATCCTTTGGTACATAGTCGGATATCGCGCCAGTCGCCGCCACAGATGTCTCAGATTGGTAAATGCTAAATGGAACTTGCGTCGCAGCTCATATTTTGCCGGCAGCCAGCTCGATGCGGCGGATGCAACTCCTAAGCAGGTGAAGTGGTCGACACATTCCACCACTTCACTCCATATCATTAAACTGGGAGTACATGCAGCAGACCAGACCTGGAACTTTATTTTGCATCTGACAGGTGTTAGTGAAACGTATGCCAAACATTCTGAGATTTCTGCTCAACGCGTTCAGAAATCCCTGAATTTTGTCAGTGTCTTCACCTGGTAGTACAACATCGTGTGCATATTTGAAGTCACCGAGATGACTTCCATGTAGGGGAGTAGATCAATCCATGTGAAGTCACAGATACCTTAGGTTATGTCCATTAGTACGCCTTCGATGAAGTTACATAGGAACGGTGACAATGGACATCCGTGCCACACACCACCACTAGTTGTCGTCAATTCTGATGGTAAGTCTCCACAAACCTTTCCCTACACGGTCACGTGAGTTCGAGTAGAGGGCTGTGATTGGCGCTCTATACTAGTCCCGTACTCCTTTCACCGTCAGACACTGCCACAACAACTGACGGTAGACAAAGTTGAATGTTTCCTTCATGTTAAGAAATATGGCAAGTGTCGGCGACTGGCTGGTAGGTATGTCTGTGTTCCAGAATCTGTTGGAGGGTTAAAATATGATTGATGCACTCTCGTCCAGTTCCCTCTCAAACCCGCCTGGTTTTCTTGAGTTTCAGTTACGCGTCGGATGACACTAGATCTCAGGATCTTGGATACAATATTAGTCAAACTTATTCCGCTATGACTCAAAAGATTTCCTCACCTTCTTATAGACTGGAATGATCATTGAAGTACGCCAATCTGACTCCACTACCTCTAATTCTCATTCACTACCTAGGACCTCCGTCACTTGCACAGGCAGCGACTGCCTACCTCCATCCTTGAAAACCTCAGGTGGCAAACTGACCGACCCTCATCCTGTGCATCGTTTCAAGTTCCATACAGCCTTCTCAACTTCAAGAAGAGTTGGGCGACCGACATCTACATTCCATACAGGTTCAGACTCGAGATTGGACAGCTGAGTGGTTGCTGAGGATCAGTTGAACTATGTTCTTAAGTGTTCTGCCTAACGTCCAATCTGACTCTCCTGGGAGGTAATCAGGGTTCCATCCTTTTTGGTGATGGTTTCACTCACCATCATCTTCTTCTTGCCAGTATCTTTAATAAGCCTAAATAGTTGCAGGTTGTTGCCCACCACTGATGCTGTCTGCATCTCTGACCACCCAGTACTGCTTGTGATCATTGAGAAGACTCTTGGTCAACTTACGTTCCAGTTGGTTTCGCTCTTCTTCGTGGTCAGAGCCATCTGGAATCAGTCTTCTCGCATCAAACATTTCGGATGACGTCGTGGAGATCCATCGATGTTTGTTAACTTTTGATTGTGGGTTAAAAACTGTCTGTATGACTGTTTCTGCAGCAGACTTAATATCATGCCAGGTTTCCTCAGGATGAGCATTGCTGTCAAGTTGTCTCCTGCCTAAATGTGTATTTGACGTCCTCATCTTCCAATCGACCACAGACACGCTCCGCTGACACCTGTTTCCTGCGCCCAGTAAGGTGCAGACATACACGAGGCTGCACTAACACATGATCGGAATCCAAGCTCCAGAAAGAGTGACAATCCTCCCTAACAATGGCTTACTGCAATACAATCTATGTCCATCGTTGATTTGAAGTTGGAGGACTCCATGTGAAACAGTGTCTCTCTTTATCTCTTAAGTTAGTGCAGGCCAGAAACAAGTGTTTTTTGGAGCGAAATAGAAACGGGCGATCATCGTTAACGGTTCGTTGGCATGGAATCCCGTAGATACGTCCAAGATGCATATTTCCTGCATGTTTCTGACACTTCGAGTTTACCACCATCGGGTGATGACTACGGCCAGATGTCAACAAATACCACATTGATCTAACAACCTTTTCAAGCAAAGAATGTATTAAATGATGAAAATACAAGATTAACATTTATTTACATGGAGTTGTACAAATGCTGAAACAAGTCATAAGACATGATGGAAAACAGGAGACAACCTCAAAATGATTCGGCTTCACGCATATCTATAACGAGTTTAGCAATGACAGCTTTTGTATTTTTATCGACTTTCTCATCATCTGTCACGTTGATAAAATGTTTACGCATAAATATTCGACAATTTCGACAAAGTCTTGTATAAGCTGATAATTGCATTAATTTAGTTAAGACATTTTGGTATTCACCAATGCATAATTCCATAATTGCATATTGCAGGAAGGCAATATTCCCTTGACTACTATCCCCAAAATTGTAATTCTAAAATACAAATAAATAAATAATTATTATTAAGTTACGCAAAACCGGAAACAAATTAATAATTAAGTATCAACTTTAAATTGGTGAATAAAAGACTGGCTACAGATGTATTGAATGACGATGTAAGAATGACGGTTGTAAATGAGGTAGGAAGAACCAATTTCTTTAACCAAAGAGCCAGGTTATCAGAGCCTAGGTTTCATAACTGCAAGTCAACATGACAGAAAGTTCTAAACTATTTTAAATTCTAAGTAAATCGGCAGTGTATGGACAACACTAAGAGTTTATAGGCTCTAAGTGATTTGAAAATACCTCACGTAACGTAGTATTCATCGACAATAAGACAAAACTACTAAAGCAGTGACTGAAGCCTATAAATTGAATTCAACACTGAAAGAGAGTGCACAACAATATATTGTGTGAAAAATTAACGGTCACATTACACTCCTTGGTAAACAGATAATAGTTGACACATAAGAACTCAAAATAGTTTATCTCCTTGAAAAATTCGAATACTGCAATCAAGAAAACACTGCAAGAGGATATCATTTTCTAGTTTCTCCAAAATCATGATTTACAATAATAAATTATTCGTCAGTATTTCTCGGTCATAAGAAGTAGAGGGTTTAAAAGCTAACCACTAAACTTATTTCCAGAAGTCCAGGGTAAACAAAAATCATCATTACAACATACACCATACCGCTACTAACCATAACTACTTATGAAGAAAAGACAGCAAAAACAAGAATTTATCACGAATACGTAGACAGAAATAGTAGTTATTGGGAATTGCCTTAACAACTATTATTCCCTTAGACAAATTATAGTCAAGATGTGACCTCATAGAATGGCAAATATTTGGCGATGAGCGAAATGTTGCCATTAGATATAGATTGCATTTGTGTAAGTCACAGTGTGCTTCAAATTAAATAATTCCAACGTTTCGCACGGAAGTCTCGTATGAGCTTCTTCACTATACAGTATATTTTTCCCAGATTGACTACAAACATCAACTGATAAAAGTACCCCTTGCATAGAATCCTGATAAACATATCTTTGTTTAGAACACACTATGCTAACTGCGAAAGCAGTACCGAGAAAGTATGCTACCCTAATGAAAACTCCCTCCTCGAACTCACGTGACCGTGTAAGGGAAAGGTTTGTGGAGACTTACCATCAGAATTGACGACAACTAGTGGTGGTGTGTGGCACGGATGTCCATTGTCACCGTTCCTATGTAACTTCATCGAAGGCGTACTAATGGACATAACCTAAGGTATCTGTGACTTCACATGGATTGATCTACTCCCCTACATGGAAGTCATCTCGGTGACTTCAAATATGCACACGATGTTGTACTACCAGGTGAAGACACTGACAAAATTCAGGGATTTCTGAACGCGTTGAGCAGAAATCTCAGAATGTTTGGCATACGTTTCACCAACACCTGTCAGATGCAAAATAAAGTTCCAGGTCTGGTCTGCTGCATGTACTCCCAGTTTAATGATATGGAGTGAAGTGGTGGAATGTGTCGACCACTTCACCTACTTGGGAGTTGCATCAGTCCACTGAACGGACTGGTTACTAACGTTATCTGAGCTCGGATACGTAAGAACGGTTGGCATTCACCAACTCACATTATCTTTGGCTGTGATTGCTAAGATATCCATTCGATTATCTATCAAAGGACGAGTGCACTGCTCTACAGTCCATCCTGTCCTGTTACACGACTGTGAGACACGGCCGATAAAAGTGGAAGACAGGAAACAAATTAATTGCCTTGATTACAGATATCTTCGTAGCATTACTCGCGTTTGATGGAATCACAGTATGAGCAATGTTGAGGTCAGGCGAGGGGAACTAGGCAATACAGTCAAGTCGATCGATGAGGTAGTGAACTTTCATCGGCTTAGATGGCTTGTATAAGCACTGTGCGTGTCGATTCATCGCCTACCTCGACATGCAATGCTAAGTAAGGGGAGTTGGACTAGTTTGGAAGAGGGTTTTAGATTGACCATACCGAGACGCGTGATTAATCTAGGAAGTCGCTGACTATTGGTTTGAGTCGTGTTGGGAAATGCAGACAACCTAGCTTGGGTTCTCGAGACGAAAGGCCTCTTGGTGATACGGTTGAAGATCGGTCACAATGGTGTAGATGTACTCACTCTTTGATATCTCATAAAATTTGAATTTTTCGTCTAACCTTCATGTCTAGATTCCTTCTTCTCCCATACACCTATGTCTACTTTGATATCGGTATTGTTTTACCCACTTTTTTCGGCATACTACTGTTAAGTGTGGCAACTTGAACCAATGCACTTGTGTGGGAGGTTGTTAGCCAATTTTATCTGTCTGTCTGCACACTACGGGTTTATGTTATCCAACAACTTTTTAGTGATTGATAAGTTTTCAGCAATAGTTATCCACAAACAAAGTATCCGTTAGATATCTTATTTCATTTTGAAAACTGTCTTCCATGCATACTCTTCAAATATCGTTTAACGAGTACATAGCTAAGGCTTGCTTGCAATGAATCAGACAGGAATTATTATAATTTAGATATTGTCCTGTTCAAGTAGGTTTCCTGTAGGTAAGTCGTTTTAATGACTAACCATGAAGTTAACTTATCAGTACGTCCAGGTAAAGCATGCTACTGTCTGTCGCACCACATATTAAGGATATATCCTTCTTTACGGCATTCAATCGATTTGAAATTAAAGAAGCATAGCTTGTTATCCAATTAAAACTAGGATGTTATCAACATGTCTCTGTAAAGGGGAGCTTTCGCAATAAGACCCCTGAATAACTTTACACTGCATGCATATAAAAGTGTAGAAAATCTTTCAAGTGAGACAGGGAGAAAGGTAATGAAAAGCTATATGGAAATATAGTCATACAAAATGTCAGTTATGTTTGATCGAAGGAAGACTGTTGAATAAGGAGTTAACATCAAGAAGACACAATTTTGTTTTGAATGATAATACTGTCAACATGATGATCAAACTACTGGCTAAAGCTTAAGTTTTTCAACATACATTCGCAACAGAAAAGTCATTTAACCTATGAACACTTTACAGTATTACAGTATTAAATGAGAAGCGGTCAATCGAGGTTGAAGCCATCCAGAATGAAAACAAAGGAAACTTAATAATACCATCACAAGTCGTAAATAGTCACAATAGACAGACATGAAGATACATAGAAAAAATGGAATGAGATGTTACGATTGATATGAAGATGAGTTATGAGCGCGACTGCATAAGTGTGACTGATTCTTACCGATATCACCTAAAGCTCTCATCCGAAAGATGTTAGTTAGATGGAGGCAATCGGCAGGAAGCCTTGGATCTAGGTTTCCTGCTTGTTGGCACTAGTTACCAAGGTGTATCTGCAACTCCGACAGGATTGATGTCCCCTGTGAGATTAGAACCCACGTCACTCAATGTTGCAGTCAGCGATCCTACCACTGAGCTATTCAGGACGCAAGTGACCTCCTGTAGGACTGGATTAGATACATTGAGTGGTCACTGGAGGGTAACCGGCTTCATGTTGTCTAGTCCTAAGTGCTGGTAGAATTCTATCGATGACTTTCCAATGTCCACACCAGACTAGGAAGCTCAGCAGCGCGATGGACTTTGATAGATGTTAGTTGGATGGAGGCAATCGGCAGGAAGCCCTGGACCTAGGTTTCATGTTTGTTGACACTCGTCAGCAGGACATATCTTCAGCCCCGACCATTCTGATTCTTCTAGATCAGCTACTCGTTGGTTTACGCAATTACGTATCTACCAGAAAGTGATGGGATCATTCCACTCCACTTATTGAGGTTTGGGCAGGTTGTTAGTATCATTAGTCCTCATACGATAGATGCAACTGTTTAATTTACAAACTTGCGCACGGACATTGACTCACATTCCATTTATGCCTGCTGAACTAATCTTTACGGTCACATCCGTTAACCTATCTTCTGTATACTGTCTCAAAGTTTAACAACAGGAACTGACGTACGACTGTATAAAAAAAATTCTGTATTGTTCTATTGCCATCAATCAGCTTACTAACATACGCAGAGGTCCCTACTTAACTCATGTTTAGGATAAATAAACAGCAACACGAAACTCACCTTTAATACAGTAAGTGGAAAGTTATAAACAAGACAAATTAAGCCTAAAGCACGACCAGCATTCGATTTAGCCTCTACAGTTAGATTAGTATTATTCAAGATATCCCAAAATCCACATTTAATCATCATCTACAAAACAAAAAAAATTCAAAACGAATAGAAACAAAATGAAATTACTCCCCAAAAGTTTTACCTTATTTATTTATAAAGCAATTAACAGAAGCTGTGAATAATCCACTGAGTCACAGTGGATTCAAACCTACTATCTACCTCAGTGTGAATAGTAAGATAGTATGTTGACCGATCGATAACTAGATAACTAACACGAAACATACCGTCGATCACCTTCTGTCGATTAAATTAGAAATGAAGTTGCTCAGTTAAGTGAGTTGGCATTGGAACGCGGAATGTTCGACCTTGTTTATATGGTTGATAGATACAATGTGGGTAATCCTCACGAACAGAAAGTGCTTAATTTGCCTTGACCTATTCGCATTCAGACTGAAGACTAGTTCCTCCTAAAACAGCATAAGAGTAGTGCCTCTGACTGTGGTGACGACTGACACAACTTCGAGTATCCATAACAGAAACATCAAAGTCGAGTGAATATGTTTTAGTTAAAATAGATAACTTGGTAAAACCTGAATATATCCAGGTGGTTGGAGGACATGTTCTGCGCTTGTCTAGTTACCGCCTGCCTCGTCATGCAATGTAAGCTGAAGTAAGTTCGAGCTGGAAAAAGGCTATGGAAAACCAGATTAAAACATGACATTAGTCATTGAAGTCGTTGATTGTTTGTTCTAACTCTGTGGAGATGCAGAGATGCAGACGACCCTTGGTAACTGAAATCGGTAGTTGGAAACCCCAGGCAACATAGGCTTAGAATCTATGGCAACGGCGCTATTAAGAATTAATGGATGGAGAGTGAAGTGCCAAGCCATGTAGCCAACGACAACGGTTAAAATTTATTCAGTCCTCAACTTTCAAGAAATCCTAACCTTGTTTTACCTGTTCCTTTGAGGTGCCTGAATATCTTTCTACTTTTGTTGGTTTTTTGCACTGTTTTAAGGCGCAGCAATATGAACCAATGCATTCTTGTGCAAGACCATGTGACTCCGTTTATCAGCGTCTATCACTTTTGCTTTGCTCCCATTATTAGATAACTTGAATGTCTACACTAGTAGAGCAGTAGAGAAATCTAATGGACAGACAGACAAAATCAACATACGACCTCTCATTTCCGCACACCAGTCCAATTCATCACAACAAAAGAAAGAGAATGCACCACGATTAAACATAAAGAAATAAAGAAGTTCGTAGCCAAAAGGGGTAGAAACTGGTCAAACATCTTTTAAGGCTTATTAAAGATACTGGCAAGAAGAAGATGATGGTGAGTGAAACCATCACCAAAAAGGATGGAACCCTGATTACCTCCCAGGAGAGTCAGATTGGACGTTAGGCAGAACACTTAAGAACATAGTTCAACTGATCCTCAGCAACCACTCAGCTGTCCAATCTCGAGTCTGAACCTGTATGGAATGTAGATGTCAGTCACCCAACTCTTCTTGAAGTTGAGAAGGCTGTATGGAACTTGAAACGATGCACAGGATGAAGGTCGGTCAGTTTGCCACCTGAGGTTTTCAAGGATGGAGGTAGGCAGTCGCTGCCTGTGCAAGTGACGGAGGTCCTAGGTAGTGAATGAGAATTAGAGGTAGTGGAGTCAGATTGGCGTACTTCAATGATCATTCCAGTCTATAAGAAGGTGAGGAAATCTTTTGAGTCATAGCGGAATAAGTTTGACTAATATTGTATCCAAGATCCTGAGATCTAGTGTCATCCGACGCGTAACTGAAACTCAAGAAAACCAGGCGGGTTTGAGAGGGAACTGGACGAGAGTGCATCAATCATATTTTAACCCTCCAACAGATTCTGGAACACAGACATACCTACCAGCCAGTCGCCGACACTTGCCATATTTCTTAACATGAAGGAAACATTCAACTTTGTCTACCGTCAGTTGTTGTGGCAGTGTCTGACGGTGAAAGGAGTACGGGACTAGTATAGAGCGCCAATCACAGCCCTCTACTCGAACTCACGTGACCGTGTAAGGGAAAGGTTTGTGGAGACTTACCATCAGAATTGACGACAACTAGTGGTGGTGTGTGGCACGGATGTCCATTGTCACCGTTCCTATGTAACTTCATCGAAGGCGTACTAATGGACATAACCTAAGGTATCTGTGACTTCACATGGATTGATCTACTCCCCTACATGGAAGTCATCTCGGTGACTTCAAATATGCACACGATGTTGTACTACCAGGTGAAGACACTGACAAAATTCAGGGATTTCTGAACGCGTTGAGCAGAAATCTCAGAATGTTTGGCATACGTTTCACCAACACCTGTCAGATGCAAAATAAAGTTCCAGGTCTGGTCTGCTGCATGTACTCCCAGTTTAATGATATGGAGTGAAGTGGTGGAATGTGTCGACCACTTCACCTACTTGGGAGTTGCATCAGTCCACTGAACGGACTGGTTACTAACGTTATCTGAGCTCGGATACGTAAGAACGGTTGGCATTCACCAACTCACATTATCTTTGGCTGTGATTGCTAAGATATCCATTCGATTATCTATCAAAGGACGAGTGCACTGCTCTACAGTCCATCCTGTCCTGTTACACGACTGTGAGACACGGCCGATAAAAGTGGAAGACAGGAAACAAATTAATTGCCTTGATTACAGATATCTTCGTAGCATTACTCGCGTTTGATGGAATCACAGTATGAGCAATGTTGAGGTCAGGCGAGGGGAACTAGGCAATACAGTCAAGTCGATCGATGAGGTAGTGAACTTTCATCGGCTTAGATGGCTTGTATAAGCACTGTGCGTGTCGATTCACCGCCTACCTCGACACGCAATACTAAGTAAGGGGAGTTGGACTAGGTTGGAAGAGGGTTTAGATTGACCATACCGAGACGCGGGATTAGTCTATGAAGTCTCTGACTATTGGTCTGAGGTATGTAGGGAGGTAGGTGTAGAGTGCTTGGTTGGCATCCTGAGGACCACTGAAATCAATGGTCCGAGACTTGATGAAATACCTGGAAAGTGGTCGAAATGGTGGAGATTTATTTACTCTCCGACGTTTCCTAAAGCTTGAATATTTTCACTGCCGTCCTCTTCAATTTGTTTTTTATTCGTATACCTTTGTATAATTTGATATCAGTCTTTTTCTATCCACCCTTTTTTCTATACTACTGTGAAGTGTGGCAACTTGACATGTGCACTTGTGTACGAGTTTGTAAGTTGACTGTCTGACTGATACCAGTCGGTAGGGGTCATATTAAGTACCCACACGCTAGCTAAAACTTCGGTTAACGGGACTAATAATTCTGGACTACTATCTTCAAATACCTTTGATGGTAGACCATCTGCCTCACTTCTTTGTAATCTACCTGCAGCTTCCTCAACTCCAGCAAAAGCTAGAGGCACCCCTATCTCAACGTTTCATTCAAAATCCGATTCGGTAGCGATAAAAGTAATAGTATCCGTAGATCAGTTGGGCCGTTTCGCGAACTGCTCAGCCCATCCTTCAATTCACCTCCCGTAAAACTGAATCGAAGACCCATCCTTCTCCGATATAGTTTCACTAAACACTGGCGTTTTCGCCACAGTTTCTTTGATGACTTTGGATAACTGTCCAGTGTTACGTATTACGGCTGCCTTTCCTATCTCGTTAGCTATCGCTACCCACCACTGTTTGCGGTCATTGAGCAAACTATTTGTCAGTCTATACCGGAGTTGTTTCCGCTCCTCATTGTCCTTGTAGACTGCACAGATGTGTCACATGCATCCCACAACTTAAAATAAGCTGCTAAGACCTACTAACTCTTTCTAACTGCTTTCTGAGAGTCGGCTAGAATCCCCAACGCTGTTGTTAGGATAGACTAAGGATGGAGCCAGGCTTCTTTTAGAAGAGAGATGTGGTATTCTTCCAGTAACTATCTAGCCAGTTTCTTGCTAATATAGTGTTGCTATGACTATTTAGGTGCAAACATACAAGTGCTCCAACCAACGCGTAATCGCTGTCCAAATACGTGATCTGGTAGGAGAGGTGATCTTTCGTCAATCCTGTCCAGAGATAAGTGATAGCAATATAGTCTACCTGTGTCCGCTACTGAGTTGAGGTTGGTAAACCCGCGTCTGACAATGTCTTTTTTAACTTTTGAAGTTCATCCTGGCCTGAAATTGGTGCTTGTGAGAGCATAGTTGTAGCAGGTGATCATCGTTATTCGTTCCTTCGGTTAGGATTCCGAAAGCGCCACCTCGTTCCTCTTTTTGTTCGACTAAGTCTAAACACTTGAACATTTAAAACCTCTGCTACATAGTTCTCGGTAGAACTCACCCTTTACTTCATCCAAGCAGCAGTTAGTGGATGCGTAACCAGAGATTACAAAGAGATAACGACGAGTTTCGCTATTCTTTTTAGTCTTCACTGTGTCGTTCAGTATATCAGCGCAAAGACAACGGTCAACAGAGATCAAGTAGAACAGTGTACTTTCTGTCTCAGGGCTTAATCCTGTACCTATACCTACACCTGCAAGACAGCAAGAACTAGTTATCGAATACTTAGAAACTCAAATTCACCATATTGGTCAGGTGAGGTTGAAAACTTGGACACAGTACGTGTGTTACACAAACACAGCAAACATCTATAGTCTGAGATGCAAGAGTTTTGGCCAACAAAGCTTGCTGGTCAATTTGATGAAGAGATCAGAAATTGAGGGCTTTAATGTATGGTTTGCAGCGCGGTTCCAGGAGACCAATGATGCTGTTCAGTGAACTAAAAACGTTATCATGAACTATAAAGCTGGAATAAATTAACGATAATGTAGGAATGTTGACCGAGAAACATGAGGAAGAATTAGAAGCTAAGGAGGTGGATGGAAGACAGTGATTTCAGGGAACTTGAGTGCTGACAGAGTTGTGAGGGCGGTTGACACTTCCCACTTTCTCACACCCTGAAAGGCTTGTTCTTTTTGAGGTAACTGGAAAAGAAAAAAGTGCATGAGGGCCTAAGGAACATCTGTTTGAGGTCGGTCACACAGGGCCTCTTTAGAAGTTTATTTCTTCCGACTTCGAATATGAACCTATATCGCCTGGACGGGTGCAACACCAGGGTAAAAGACAGTGCTTTATTTTTAGGTCTGACCTATTCTACCCCTTTCCCTTCCAAAAGGGAAGGCAGCATCCGCATATCACTGCTGATCATCAGTGGGAAACACTTTACTGCTGTCACACACCCCGTTCCAGTCAGCAGTACGACTTCACCCTCTGTTCTGCACCACAGAGTAGTTAGTTTGCCCTATAAAGATAATTGCTTTTTGTCTTACCACTATCCAACAAACCTTTCTGGTATGGTTGGAACCCAAGGAACGAGAGTTCCACCAGAAGAGCTCGTTGAATCATGTTTTGAAGCAATACATAGGTGGACTAGGTTGCACTTCGTTTCAGTCAATTGATAAGTTACAGCTATCATTAATGAATGCCTTCTTTCCCGTAGAAATTAAGGACAAAGTGATATGGGTGAATACGATAACAAATTCATGAGTTGAGAAAATTCTTGTTGAATTTAAAGATTATTTTGAAATAAAGATAATACATGAGACTAAGCTTTTTTGGAAGATAGCCATGTGGGGAGATGTAGACTATCTGGCTGGGGTTGTTTGTTTAGAAGACAGCAATTAAAACGAAAATGAGAAAGATACATTATATCTACATATAACTGAAGTTGAAAATGTAAACTAATTCAATTCATTCAAGAGGTTTACGGATAAAAGGTTGTGGGTATCACAATGAGAATTGCATAGCATTTAAGACTCCTTAGATAGAACAAAATACCTGACAGTACTTAATGCCTATGAAGGCTAACATAAAGTAACTACACTATTCACTGGAAAACACGGTAAATCCCAAATATTCTTCTTTGAATTGCTTTTTGCAGTTTCAATTCTCTCCAGGTATCGGTTTTAGAGTTGATACAGAGTTGGCTTTCGACAAGTGAGTTACGCATCCGAATCCTGTTTCACCTAAGGAAAATGCGATACCTGGGTGGTATCATCATCAATCACACAACGGCTACAGTTTATTATCTAGTGGACGAACTTGCACGTGGTTGTTGAGCTACATTTACTTCCATGTGAGGCTTAAATTGGAAGTAATATAAAAACATATAGCTCAACGTTAACAGGAAATAATGTTTTACATAAATGCATTATTAGAAAACAGTTGCATCTGCTTACCAAAAACCGGCGATGACAGTTAAGAATACCACCCAATACCCGTGGATAAAAACGATTGAAGGGCATTTCAGACATAACGCAATGCAATACAATATGTATCATTTCTCTTTCACGAGCAGCTACAGCGCCTGCTCCAAGTTGTACACCAGTTGAATTTGCAGAAGTATGACAAGCTTTCAATAAAGCTGATGCTGTAGCATCTGGACCACCGGGAGTAGAAACCAAAATACTAAAAGTCAACTGACGTGAAGCAGTACGTAGGCCCAACTTCTCTGCAACAGCTTCAATCTGAAAAGTTTAAGATGAGAAGTTCTGTATGTGCGGGAAGAAGTAATAGGGTTTAGCAGCAAAGATAACAGATGATTAAACCATAAAACTGGTCTATCAGACACACAATCTTGTTTTAATTACCTGCTGATCGAATGTACTATGAAAAATATTTTGTGAAAATCCTTAAAAACTGAATACCTAAGAAGTCTGTGAATGAACCGAAGAAACACTTCCACTAATATTACAGGAGAGAAACAGTATACTTCATAACACAGTGGTAGCAACACCTAAGGTTGTCTGTCTTTCGTGCAAAAATATATGAACCACTAACTACTGTCCCGTGAACTATAACAATTTCTTCCCCAACTATTCTTTGAATTTCAATAATTTACAGTAATTTCACTGTTAGTATTCATTATTCAGTCGAAATTTAACTACACAGGATCCATGACTTATTAATCAACATGCCAGAAAAAGGAAGATCGAAAAATGTGTTTGAACTCCTTTCCACTTACAGCGGTTCGGAAAAACGAGTAATGTCGCCAACCCCCACAGATTAGATATCGCTAGTGGTCTACAGCATGAAGCCATGTAAGGCTGTTGAATAGCGAAATCTTTTTACACTTGGAAACACCTAGACTACAGATGCTTTTTGGAACTGGTTTGGTTGGATGGTTCAACCCCCCCCCCCCCAGTGTGTAATATGCAGATGGAATAACGTGATGTGATTTATAAAATAAACAATGACAGTGAGGGAGATCGCATCAGACATAGATGTTGACTTTTCCGTCTTTATACTCATGGATAATAAATTAGCGGTTGAGCCCAGTAACATGCCTTAGTATAAAAAAAATTTGCCAGTTTTTGGTGTGAAATATCAAACAAAGTTGGCCATTTACGAATAACTAGACAGAAACCCCGAACATAGGTTTCGTACTTGTTGGCGCCTATCGCGGTAAGGCAAATCTGCCATCTGGAGAGAAATGATGCTTTCTCGAAGGTTAGACAAAGTGTCAGGAAATTATAAGTAGTACGATTCTCAGCCTAACCAATCAAAAGAAATACTGTTAGAAACGAGATTAGCATCCTATTCAGGTGGGAAAACGCAACACTTGGAAAATTAGGTTATTAATGAAAAATATAGGTTTTGGGGTTACTACAAAATGAAGAATTCAAACAAGTAATTGAGTAGTTACCTCAGGATTCACATATGGCTTTAGTTTTTCTTCTTCTTTGGACTTAATTGTGCAAATGTCCGATGGCCGATTCACTGCTGAACCAACTAGCCACCAGCGGCCGGTTGATGTGGAATTCAGTAAGTCTTCCAATCCAACAGATAAACACATATCATCGGTGATAGACAATCCTGTCAGTTTAAAGAAGAAAAGATCCATTTACCAATTGAGTATAACAGGATGAATACAATGGATAGTGGATTGTGCACTTCCAAAAAGTCTTCCATGTTTCCTGGATTATAATCCGGATGATCCAGAAGTAATGTGAGAGACAACATAAGCTTGTATAATACAATTATTATTATTAGTCCCTTGGGTTCCTAGTGGAACATAGGGCTTCAGTAGCACGTCTCCAGTGACCTCTGTTCTCCGAGATCTTTTGAACCTGGTTCCACGACAGCCCACAACCTCTCATTTCCTCCTCGCATGACCTCCTCCATGTCACCCTCGGACGTCCAACTCGTCGCTTCCCATCGGGGTTCCACTCGAGGGCCTGACGCGTGATGTCCTCAGTCGGCCTTCTCAGTGCATGGCCAATCCATCTCCACTTCTTCCTGCATATTTGTTGCGTGATAGATTCTTGGTTGGTTCGTTCCCAGAGCTCCTTGTTGCTTATTCTTATTATTCTGGCCATCTGATCTTCAGTAGCGAGCCAGCGTAAGCAGTTGTTGATGAATGTCTGTAGTTTATTGGAAATACCTTTCGTGACGCGCCAAGTCTCTGAGCCATACAAGAGCACTGACTTGACGTTAGTGTTGAAAATCCGTATCTTGTTTCGCATGCTGAGTGCAGAAGATCTCCACACTGGTTTCAGGCTAATGAACGCCTGTCTTGCTTTTCCGATTCTGACTTTGACGTCCTCGTCCGTCCCGCCTGTAGTTGAAACAGTGCTTCCTAGATAAGTGAAGGAGGTTACTTCCTTCAAGTTTCTCCCGTTGACGGTGATTGGAGTTTGTTGTTGATGGTGGTGGTGCGGTATCTTCATCACTTCTGTCTTCTCTATATTCACCTGAAGTCCCGTCTTAGCTGCCTCTTCTATCAACTTGTTAGTTTTTGCCTGCAGATCTTCAAGTTTGTGTGACATTAGGCATAAGTCATCGGCGAAATCCAAGTCTTCTAGGTTCTTTTCCGTCGTCCAGTGTATCCCCCTCTTCTCGCTGCCTACTGTTTGCTGCATGATCCAGTCCACCACAATAAGGAATATCATGGGGGATAGTAGGCCC